ATGTAGACGGTAAGATTACAACTTTTCCTGTAGTAGAATTAGAAAGACGTGATTTATTGACGACAAAATCCTGTAAACCTTTATAGTGTTCTACACGCAATTTTGATTGATTTTGACGGACGTAGTCCAGGCGGTCACTTTCAATTCTAACATAAGTATCAACTAAATATTGCTGAAAGAGTTTCTTTGCTTGGTGTACATGAGAAAAATCTTCTCTGACAGCAAGCCTGTGGCAGGCATATTGACGCATTGTAAGTTTATTGCGTTCCTTTTGCTTCCGAGGACCATTATGAATCAAAGATGGATCCCATCCCGATTCTCCATACGGAAATAGAAGGGGATATATCATCGGATCACAGTGTGGACTGAGGACTGATAAAAGTTTAGGACCACCGTGCTTGAAGTTGACCACTACATGACGGTACCCTGGAGGCTCTCCTTCGGATGAATCAAAAATACCGGTAATTTCGTCCGCAGAAGGAGTACTTGATGTTCTTTTATCCATGGCAATGTTATCAATGAATCTTATGCTAAAATCTTGACAACTTTGAGTATTGTCGATCATTGTCGATGCTTTTTTGTAAACGTTTGAATAAGGATTATGAGACAGAATATTACCCAACGAAAGAAGAATTTCTTCTTTTAATTCATTATTTTCGTCGCGTGCAGTACGAACATTCAAAGATGTAGACGTGTCAACTATATACAGCTGTCCGTAAACTGGAGATTCTTCATTGGGGGGCAAAAGGTCAGAAATGTATCTAAAATTAAAAAATAAAATTTAGAGATGAGTACCTAATAAAATAATAACAACACTATTAAACAGAATTTTAAGTCTTATTATTTTCTCTGAACTGTTTATTTTTAAAATGTTTAAAAACAAAACGGAATAGACAAAGTCCAAATAGTAACTAACAGAGGAGGAAAGATTTAAATGCAGTATCCGGAATGCAACTGCATTCCGGATGCGTTAAGGGGTGGGAAGGAGGGAGGGACGGACTGAGAAACTGAAAAAAGTACGTTACGTAACGGTAAATATTAAATAAACTTACCTATATATGGATCCTTGAACTTTAAAGCAATAAGGTCCATCACCCGGAATATCAATTCGATTTGCAGAGAAAGAGGCAAAAGCAACAGCACTATTATAATTTCTGATATGCTTTATGAAATTTGGAGAATATAAAAATAGTGATTTCAAATCGGTATTTGTCCGAATACTCGGTAAAGAAATTAAGCCATTTTGGCAGCAGTTATTAAAATGACCATTGGACATTTCACCCTGAAAATGGCGAGCATCACAATGATGACAAATTATATTCATTGAACCGACTGAAAATTTGGTAACAAAATTTTCATCAAAGTTCTGATCATCAATTTTATACTTCCGAAATGAAGTAATGAAACTTTGATTTTCTATACTAATAACAGAGTTAAGTTCTTGCTTCACTAAACGAACATGCGAAGAATTCTGGAAAACGCGACCACGTTTTGGAGGACGACCGCCTCGGTCATTTAAAATTTCACTCATAACAACTGTTAAATTTAAAATTAAAATTGGTAAAAATTATTATTATTTTAACAAAATCATAACTGAAAAGTTTAATTTTTAAATTAAAGAAAATAAATCGGAAGAAAAAGGATGAAATGAAAATGGAAATTAATAATAAACATATTTATACACATTGAAAAGAAACAGCGTAAAAAGTTGTGATCGGCAATGAGAAAAAAAATTTGGAGGTCATTGCCTTAATGAGGAAAAATTGGCAATAGGAAAAAGATGGAACCAATCATGAAAAACCGTAAAAAAAAAACGCGGGAAAAGAAAAATGTAAGTTGATGGCAGTTGAGTGTTGGAAGTAACCTCACTTAATGATGATTGTTGAATGAAAACAGCTGATAAAAAGACAGCAAACAGTAAAGTAAGATGCGTAGCAACAAAACTTTTCCGAAGAACAAAAAACAAAAAACCCCCACTTCCCCTCATCCAATTTATGAGTTTTTAGGGATTTAAAAATCGGGGACGAACCCCAGAAAATAATTTATAGTTTTCCCGAAGCATTGAGAACAACACCTTTCAAATGAACCAACGCCCCTCGCAATTAGTACAGTGGTTGATTCACAATTTCATTCTATTTTTCAAATTAGATATTAAGATGGCGATTAAGCAACAGCCAGACGATAAAGTTTATGCTAAACGTTACTAAATACGGATACTAGGATTTAGTTAGTTTTTGGACTACGGCTCTATTTTTGTGCCGTAGTATCTTGATTTATTTTGCGAGGAAAGCTCCGTACTTTTGAAGGATGCCTGTCATTCGTAATATGTTGGAGCGCTTTCAATTTCTTATGATACTGTGCAAACATCTGGTGTGAAATAGTTACTTCAGACGCCGTGGCACGCTGCGGCGCGGCGGGCGGGCAGAGAGCGCATTTGCGCCTTCAAACCTAACTGGGATACGTCACGCATTGCGCAATGCGTGAAGTATCCCTGTTAGGTTTGTAGGCGCCAGTGCGTCGCCGCTCCGCTTTGTGTTAGGCTCTAATATTTAGTCTCGCGGAGGCAGCATTTTTCAACTCATGATTTTGAAATGTTTCCACACTCTGTATGGATTATTCTCCTTTTAATTGATGAATAAAAAAAATTTTTAAAGGAAAATATACTGTGTGTTTTGTAAATATTAAGGTAGCTCCGTATCAAACTTAATGATTTCCAAAGCACACGAATTTCTACACAATTTCTTATAGCCTTTTATAGCCAACGGCGATAAAGTGTAAAGCCCGGCGATAGGAACTACAGCCCGACTATATACTTTTTTATAGCTTCGTATAGCCCGGCTATATGATTTGCTCCGCTTTTTACAGCCAGCTATATGATTTTCAATAGCCTTCTTTAGTCGGCTATAAGAACTCCAATGGTATTTTGAAACGCAGCTCCTATCGCCAATTTTTACCAGGGTATAGAAAATTCTTGAAAAATCACGCAAATAGAAACTCTTTATAATTATGATTGTAAGAAGATATTAGCCAAGGTGTTATGCGTTTTCACTGATGATCAAAATGGTGTTACTAATGAACGATTTCATGAATACTCTTTATAATTATTTAAACGATTTCAAATTTTGTAGACCGTAATGGAGGTCTCAGGTTTTGATCCTAGACACCTCAATTCTGTGTTTCGTCTTGTGGGAAGCAAATATTTCTTTAAATCCACGTATTTCTGCCGAACGGAACTATGTGGATTATGACGTGAGCCCTGTTATACACATTTCCTAGTGGGTCTCAGGGCTCATGTCTTTACGCACGTAGTTCCGTTTGGCAGAAATACGTCCAAATAAGTTTCTTAGAATAATTAAAATACATAGGTCCATTCGTAGACTTCAAAGTCACCGTTCAACCATGAGCGCCTTCGAATGCCCGCGATACTTCACGCTTTGTCCAGAAGTAAGTTTAGTTGCTTGCATGGCCGACGTGAACACACTAGACACTACTGAAATAATGAATTCTTTCCTCGTGGCAGAAATGCCTTCGGTTTCGAGTACCCGCATTTTTGTCAAGATATCCTTTTCCGTTTACTTTCTTTCGGTCCGTTAGGTTTTCGGATTTGCGGGAAAGAAATTTTCCTGTACTCTAAGTATAAACAACTGCCGCATTTGTGTAGAAGTTTATTCGGTCGTAAATTAATTGTGTGACAAAATGGGTCAGCTCATGGCATACGTCCCGAAAGCACTGGACTGTAATGAGCGTGGAGTGTGGACTAAACAGAGCTCCAGAGGAAAATAACTAATCCGTACATTTGAACCTGAAATAAACAAGTTCGAAGACTTGTTCTCCCTCAAGATTCATTATGATGAGTAAATGGGTCTGTTGCACGCAAGCACTGGAAAAAAACATCGGATCTAGAGTCCAGACTCTTGAAAACATTGACAAGAAAAAATAGTCTTGATTCAATCAGATTTAAGCTTAAATCAAAAGGAAATCCGCTCAAATTAAGAGGCTTGGTTCTTGTCGGTGTTTTTAAGAGTCTGTACTCTAGATCCAATGTGTTTTTTTCCAGTGAGGGGGAAAGTATAATTTAAAAATAAGAAAGAAACAATTCTACCTAGAAAATCCGTTCCTCACAGTAGAAAAAAGACATGGGATCTAAAGTGCAGACTCTTAAAAACATCGACAAGATAAAGGACTCTTGATTCAATCAGATTTAAGCTTAAATCAAAGGGAAATCCGCTCAAATTAAGAGGCTTGGTTCTTGATTTAAGGTTAAATCTGATTGAATCAAGAGTATTTTTTCTTGTCGATGTTTTTAAGAGTCTGGACTCAAGATCCAATGTTTTTTTTTTTTTTTCTCAGTGAGAGATACAGCCAACTGAATACACTTTCTGAGCGTAAATTTTCTCGGAAGTCACGTTGCGAAGAAGAAGAAGAAGAAGAAGAAGAAGAAGAAGAAGAAGAAGAAGAAGAAGAAGAAGAAGAAGAAGAAGAAGAAGATCGAAGAAGATCACATCGAAGAAGTCTGAAATCTACCCCTTAGCGCGCAATCTGTATTTGTAACACGCGTTTTCAAATTTACCGCGTATACGGTGGTGGCCGGCAGTCAGGTTTGCCCGGAGAGAGACCTTACCTTAATGAACAAAAAATCGCGCGAAATATTATAAATCTCCTTGCGTCAGATTTCCGAAGTTTTTGTTTTTGCAAAACAAAGAAAGAAAAAAGAAAGAAACGCTTGAAAACGATTGAAAGCATACAATATGAAAAGTTAGTGAAATCGTTGGTTTACTCAGATTAGTTTTTTTTAACTCCTCCGTGCAAACCTGGCCGGCGGTGATCGTGATAAACTGCCCGCAGAAGTGGGCAACTTGAAGAAGCGTGTTACAAACTATGCAGATTGCGCAGTAAGGAATGGAAGACTCTTTTGACGTCCCCAACGTGATTTTCATGCGATTATACCTGTAAAGAGAGTATATTTTTGGCTGTATCTCTAGCATCCAACGGTCTGTTGGATAACAGACCCTTACAGCCTCAGAAACTTGACTTTCCGACGGCAGACAACATAATTTATGTATTATGACTAGTTTAAGTTGAAGCTACTCTTGCTTCACTTTTCCTCAAAATTAGTACCGTCCAATTCGGTCTAGATAGTCAACAGCTGAGCTCCAGAAACAGCCTACAAATTTCATCCACATAAATTGCCAATCAATAGTTTTGTGTTCCTTGACTTTCGAAAAGCTGCCTCCCGTTTTGAAAAGAACTCATCATTCGTGTAGCTGGGTTCTCCATCTTGGCCTTTGACGAAGTTTTGATGATGAAAGATTGTGAAATGTGGTAAATTTTGACTTTAAGCAACCATCAAACGAGAGGAAACAGCGACTGACTATGCTGCAACTATTCGGAGACCATCGGCTTTGTTGTCCTTTACGGGGAACTCTTCTAGTCCCACCAATGTCAGAGATAAGTCCCATAGTTTTTTTGCGTCTTCTTCACTGAGAGCGTGTGGCGCTAACTCTTTCCGCGCGCAGTCACTAGAACAGAAGAATTGCGGATGAACGGATAGGAAAAGAAACGTTACATGTTTCGACTTGTTCATTTATTTATTTTTTCCTAAAACAAACAAATAGTTTACGAATTATATATCAATGAGTGTACTTATTATTCAATGAAGTTTTCGAAGAAAATACACTGTTTAAAACACCACCTTGATAAATTTTAGATATTGTTCCAAAGACCTGGATTCATAATGCCTGTCTAAATCCTCTCGGTACTTTACGCCAAAAACTTGATATTTACACTTGTTACGTAAACCGAGTTTTATTAAACAACTTTTAATCGTGTATTATGCTAATCGTGTATAATGTTATCATATACTTCAAATAAAAACCGAACCGTGTGATTATGCTAAATGTGAAACGTGGTGCACCGGGTTCCATTCTACCAAAGTTAATATAACTTGTATATGTGTACAACGTATAGTATTTTTTAGGATGCCAAAGCGTAGTTTCCAAGTGATTTTATCAGTGGATAAAATCTGCTTTGTTGGTTGCATACGTGCAAAAGGCTCAGTTTACTGTGCTGTAAAACGCCGTATGAGCATTTGAGTGTTGCTAAATCCCCTCCAAAAGTCTCATTTACCTATTTTTATGGAGCTTTAAGTTGTAAATTTATTTTTTTTTTTTTTTTTTTTTTTTTTTTTTTTTTTTTTTTAGAATTTTCGAATTCTTCAGATTTTTATATTGCGAGTAAATTTTTCTGAACAATAGAAAGAAAAATATCAGAAAATTGTATAGAATTTTTTTTCACTTAATAAGACTTGGCAACGTCCAGAAGCTCATACGCGGTTCTACCCTGGTAGGGCAACATTCTTCGCCTACCTGTAATAAAATCCAGAATCCGCATCAAGTGACTTGTCCAGCGCACAAAATAGAATGGTAGTGATTGCCTCTGGAATCGTTTTTTGGACGAGGGGGCAGAGGTAGCCCCAAATTGTTCTGATAACCCCTCCGTAGAAACGTGTAATATCAGTCGCTGCCACACCCGGGCACAGTGAGTTGACCGTCACACCCGTACCTACGTGACGGGAAAGCCACGTGCCACGTAACGTAAAACGTAACAGAAAGTAACACGAAAGTACGAGGGTCATCCAAAAAGTAAGGTTCCCTACATTGTATCTTCCGAACGAAAAGAGATAAATCAAATCGGTAAAAACCAGGGTTCCCAGCGATCTGGAAAACCTGGAAAAGTCAGGGAAAAAAAATTGTCTGGAAAACCTGGAAAAGTCAGGGAATTTGCTCCAAAAGTCTGGAATTTTTGCAAGTACTGAGAAAAAAAATTAATAAGTAAACAAGTAAAAATAAAATAATTAAAATTGATTATAGTCTGCAGAACGAAGACTGCAGGTTGGATTATTTTTTAAAATAATCTGTTCAGTCCTCTAATCCTTAGCATAGCAGCAATACCATGATGGGATTTATTTTTCAAATCCAATANTGTAATATCAGTCGCTGCCACACCCGGGCACAGTGAGTTGACCGTCACACCCGTACCTACGTGACGGGAAAGCCACGTGCCACGTAACGTAAAACGTAACAGAAAGTAACACGAAAGTACGAGGGTCATCCAAAAAGTAAGGTTCCCTACATTGTATCTTCCGAACGAAAAGAGATAAATCAAATCGGTAAAAAGTAAAACGTACATATTAGGCATACTCTAAGCTTTTAAACAAGCTCAAGTTTTTGAAAATCGGTTGAGGACTTCGCGAGAAAACTCAATTTTACTGAGACGACCTCCCGGCGTCGCGTGCCCACCTCCGAGGTCAGGATGCGCGGAGAGTCCCTTACTTCAGACTCGGCTTATCGCCTCTAAACATCAAATCGAAAAGGACTTTAAAAGTTTTTATCAAGTAAGCCTTACTTTACTTTCTTAGATAGTCTCCGCATCTTTTTTGACATTTCTGGTATCATTACAGCGGCTCTTTCATACCTTCCGCGTAAAGGGTCTCGTCTTGGCTCCAAAACCAGTCATTGCCAGCGATCTGCACCTCTAAATCGGTTGGAAATCGCTCTCCACAGTGGGAGTTTTTCCTCTCAGGAATAGACGAAAGCCACCTGAGACTAAATTAAGAGAGCACGGAGGATTGGGGAAAAATTTTACCACGGTAAGCAACTGATTAGGAAGTGCAGATCGCGGGCAATGACTGGTTTTGGAGCCAAGACGAGACCTTTTACGCGGAAGGCATGAAAGAGCTGCTGTAATGATACCAGAAATGTCAAAAAAGATGCGGAGACTATCTAAGAAAGTAAAGTAAGGCCTACTTGATAAAAGCGTTTAAAGTCCTTTTCGATTTGATGTTTAGAGGCGATAAGCCGAGTCTGAAGTAAGGGACTCTCCGCGCATCCTGACCTCGGAGGTGGGCACGCGACGCCGGGAGGTGGTCTCAGTAAAATTGAGTTTTCTCGCGAAGTCCTCAACCGATTTTCAAAAACTTGAGCTTGTTTAAAAGCTTAGAGTATGCCTAATATGTACGTTTTTACCGATTTGATTTATCTCTTTTCGTTCGGAAGATACAAGGTCGGGAACCTTACTGTTTGGATGACCCTCGTATGTTAAAATCAGGCTAAGTCTCGACAAAGTCAACCTCAAAACTTTAGATGCAGATTTTTGGGAGTTTCCGGGCCTACATATACGAAAGACGATGACGTTTGAGTCCATGTCAGAGGAACCATGGTTCTAGAACAAAGTGTTATTATTTCAACATGCATTCATGCGTGTTATGTACATAGGTAATGTTGTTTTTCCTCAAGGTCAATAGAAAGGTCTGCAAGAACGTGTTTTTGCACCGTGCAGCTGCATTTGTGACCGTCCAAAGAGAGGATTTGACCCGAGGTACGATATTATTTTTGAGGAAAGCTATTTTGGCCAATGGAGAATTTTCAGATGTTTGCAATTTTGTAAATTTCGCGTATCAAATAAAACTACGAAGATTACTGAAAACGAGGACAGGGTGTCTACAAGTTCGGAATTTCCGGAAAGTTCGGGAATAGTACCGATTTTTTAAAAGCGGTCCGGAAGCACTGAAAAAGTGCGGAAATTTCGTTAGAAGGCCCGGAATTCTCCATTTTTGTCGCAATTTGAGAGAGAAATTCATATTTTTGAAATTTTTCGATTTTCGTCAAATGGAGGTACTGAAAAAGTACTAAATATTTCCGTTGAGGAGGTACTGAATTTCTCGCGAAGGTACTGTAAAAGTACTGATTTTTGGCCAGCCTGTTTTAGTAGAAACCCTGGAGGATATCCATGGCTTCTCCTTGGAACAATGGGTCACTAAACCATTAACAAATTTTGACTTATTGCGAATTGATCAAGTAAAATAATGACGCGTAAAACACGATGCGCACTTAAAAACGGCATGTTTATAAGTACATGTTATATAACTAAGAACCCAGCAATAAAATATCAAGGGGATACTTCAAACGTTGCACCGATACGCAGTGTGTAGATTGCGTATACAGCGCCTGCCGGAGTGTAAACCTGGGATCCACGGATCGGGCGATCGAACACATTCTGCACGCCTGCCACTACGAGAGGCAACAGTGAGAGGAGAACAACGACTCGCCAAACCATGAAGGAATTTTTACTTGCGGATACATTTTTACTTTTTCCACAAGTAAATGACGCCCGGAACACGATGCACACATTAGAAACGCGAAAAAGTATCCGCAAACCGCAAAATACGCAGTTCAAGAAGCGCAATTTTTCCAAAAATTTAAGAAGCCCCGGTTTCGCGCCGAATCGAATGATGTCATCTGGCACCAATCAGAAGCGAGCACGGGCTTCTCCGACTTCCGTCAAATATATTCCTACTCCTTGTTTATGAAAACGATAGAAAAGTCGAAACTACATCTTCAGAATTAAAAAATCGAATTTCCTTCATGTTATCCGTAGTAAGCGTAGTTATCCGTCATGTACCCGTAGTTCAACGATTTTAGAATGAATTTCGTTTTTTTTAACTAACATCCGTGGAAAATGATAGGAAATAGCGATCTGACTGCCGCAGGCATCAATTTCCCGCCATTTCTGGCGATGGTGCCAATAACTCCGTTTTATAATTTCTTTTTCGGCACCAAGATCTATTTTCCCGTGGACGTTCGTATTTTACATGCGATGACTATTTTACGTATAAATCCATGCTTCTGAGAATCACATGAAAATTCAGATACGCCCTTACGTCAAAGGAGCGACGATTTTACATGCCATCCCTATTTTACATGTAAATCCCTGCTTTCTGGTGGTCACGTGGAAATTGGATACACCCTTACGTCAAAGGGGTGACGATTTTACATGCGATCCCTATTTCACATATGAATCCATGCTTTCGGGGGGTCACGTGGAAATTGAGATACGCCCTTACGTCAAAGAGGCAACGATTTTACATGCAATCATGCAATCATTATTTTACATATAAATCCATGCTTTCTGGGGATCACGTGGAAATTGCAATACGCCCTTACGTCAAAGGGGCGACGATTTTACATGCCATCCCTATTTTACATGCGATCCCTATTTTACATGCTATCTATACTTTACATGTAAATCCATGCTCTCTGAGGATCACGTGGAAATTGTGATACGCACTATCGCTCTTACGTCAAAGGGGCGACGATTTTACATGCAATCATGCAATCATTATTTTACATATAAATCCATGCTTTCTGGGGATCACGTGGAAATTGCAATAACGCCCTTACGTCAAAGGGGCGACGATTTTACATGCCATCCCTATTTTACATGCTAACTCTACTTTACATGTAAATCCATGCTCTCTGAGGATCACGTGGAAATTGTGATACGCACTATCGCTCTTACGTCAAAGGGGCGACGATTTTACATGCGATCATTATTTTACATATAAATCCATGCTTTCTGGGGATCACGTAGAAATCGGGGTACGCGCTTAACTCAAAGGGGCGACGATTTTACATGCGATCCCTATTTTACCAGGGTGTCTAGCATCAGGATTTTCCCGATTCCCTCAAAATTTGAGGTCAATCAGGATTTAATCCCGATTTCATTAGGATCAAAGGAAAAATCGGTCGTAAAATCAGGATTTGAGAAAAGTCGGCCGCCCGCTTATTTTCCGTTAATTATCCGTTATCCGTCCGTTAATTTTCCTCCGCCCAAAATCAAGATTTGATCAGGATTCGGAGAAATTATGAAATCAAGATTTAGCAGTCAAACACCAGGAAAAATCAGGATTTCATCAGGATTTCCCAAAATGAAAACAATTAAATTCGATCCCTATTTTACATATAAATCCATGCTTTCTTGGCCTCATGCGGAAATCGGCATACACCCTTACGTCAAAGGAGTGACGATTTTGCATGCGAACTGAGAATCTTGGGTCAAACTTATACCCACCGGTAATAAAATCCGGACTCTGTGGCGATAGAATCATCCAGAGCGCAATAAAGGGAGGTTGACGCTCCTTCCAACACGTTCGTATGTACTCGGGACCACAAGTGGCTCAGATATTTTTTCACAGGGGTCAATATATAATATTTGTCCGTAAATCGGGTCAACTCCGTCGGTATCATCCCAGGGTGAACTGAATAGGCGGTCACGCCCGAACCTTCGTAACGGAAAACACGTGACGCAATGAAATGTAACGCACTGGTGGCTGCCGTGCCAAGGAAGAACGCCGTATGAACCTTCAGGCGTTGCCAAATTTCCATTTATAAAACTCGAATTTCCTGGTAAACTTATGAATATTTTTCCTTTAATTTCTCAAGTATTGTTGTTTGCAATTTCACCTAAAGTTCCTGAAAATTTTAAGGAAAAATATTCTTAACTTTTCTCAAAAATAAAAAATTTATTGAAGGAAATTTGGCAACTCTCGAATGTTCATACGGCGTTTTTCCTAAGCGCGGCATGGCAGTATGTAAGAGGAGGTGCGGTCCGGGAATAGGGACCGCATGTCGAAGTTTCAAAAATCGATTTTTGGTGCATCCACGCAGCGGACATGTGTGCGGGCAATATCGCTGTTTCTCTTACGAAAGAACGTAACTATATTACAATGTTGCCAGATGATTCCCTTTCGCAAATTTCATTTTTATGAGGAAAAACTTGTGAATTTCCTCATGAAAATTTCCGTGATTTTTCCGTTTATCTCATGCAAAATTCAGTCAAATTTTGGACAAAAATTGCACTGGTACATTTCGGTGAAAAATTGCTTTGGTACATTTTTGTGAAAAATTGAATTTTTGGGCCAATTTTGCAACCTTAAAATTGAATTACGTTCCTTCGTGCGAAAAACGACGAAATGCGCCCGATTTTTAAAACAAAATTGATCGACTTTTGGAAATTGCTCATCGAAGGCTCACGCATCAATGAAAAGCCGAAAAGATGAGGGCACTTAAGCCAAATTGTGCACTTTTCGATGGGTTTCTTTATATCTCAGCAGAAGCTTTCAATTTTTTGTTCGCCATTTACTTAAAATATTTTAATTCTATGCTCAAAATATGCATATTCCTGAAGATTCTATGCAGAGTGCAATATCAAGCGAACTTATTAGTAAAATAAGTAGCAAAGTCTCAGCAACACGACATGGATGTGTGCCCTTTTTTTCGAACGGTCCTTCACATGGACCATATTTAGCAATTTGGAACTATAAATTCTAGCCCGGTTTTAAAACAACCTATGTACCATTAGTTTCCCTATGTACGTAAGTGTTTTTCCAGAAGAGCCAGAATTTATAGTTTCAAATTGCAAAATGCATTCCACATGTGCATTGGATACCCGAAAATGAAACTCAATAATTCGACGCAGAATTCGATTTTACAATCTTCTCGGACTATTCCCAAAGATCACTCTTCGTAGATCGCATCACGAAGGAAAACCACAGTCTGTGCGTTTTTCGATGCCTCTTGTATTAAAACAGAAGTATCCATAAACGAATCCTATTTAAAATCTATATTTTTTCTGATCAACAAAAATGGCTCTGCGGCTGATTTTTCTTCTTTGTTTTTCTCTCTCGCAAAGTTTTGTGTAATCTATTCCAATCGCATCCTTAAACTTTTTATTTGTTCTTTGTTCTAGGTAAGTGAAGGCGAAGTGATCTTTCTCTCTTCCATCGGGTGTTCCATCCAACCTAACGCAAGGTAGAGTTCTACCAATGTCTTCAAAAATGTAGAAAAAAAGGGAATTCTATTGCACCCGAAAAAAAACACATTGGATCTAGAGTTCAGACTATTAAAAACATCGACAAGAAAAAGTACTCTTGATTCAATCAGAATCTAGCTCAAATCAGGAATCAAGCCTCTTAATTTAAGCGAATTTCGTTTTGATTCAAGCAAAAATCCGATTGAATCTAGAGTATTTTTTTGTCCGTGTTTTCAAGAGTCTGGACTCTAGATCCAATGTGTTTTTTTTTTTTCCAGTGTGGTAGATAAGTTCCACAGGGTGTCTAGTATCAGAATTTTCCCGATTCTATCAGGATTTGAGGTCAATCAGGATTTAAGGAAAAATCGGTCGTTAAATCAGGATTCTAGAAAAGTCGGCAGTCCGATCGGATTTTTTTATCGAGCTATTTTTGTGAAGTTACGTTCGTCTCTTTTTTTCCGCAAAAAATCATTATTTGATCACGATTTGGAAAAATAATGAAATCAGGATTTCCCAAAATGAAAAAAAACTAGACACCCTGTTCCAGCCTCTCTTTTCAGCCTTTCCTTTACCTTCGATGAAACTTGAAAATGAATGCTATCACTTACCATCCAGTCGGGATGCTAGTTCTCGAGTAAAGAGAATATTGGCAAGCTTGCTTTGAGAGTAAGCTGTGAACATACCATAATTCCTCTCCAGACTTAAATTGTCCCAGTGTATGCGTCCGTCTGTAAGAATTTCACCGGAACAAAGAACTAATAATATCTTCTTTTAAAAATGCATGAGAAAAAGAAGTCGTATTGCAAAATACAACTATCAAGGTTCCTATCTACAGCTCCAAGAAGTAAGAAATTTCTCCGCGCAGAGGGCGCCACCACTGTTTTGATTTTAAGGATCACTTCATATAGTTTGTTCGGCTTGACGTGAGTCCTGGAGCTTTTAAGTATGCAAATTAAAGGAATTTCGGTTAATTTCTGTTAAAATCGAAGAGTCTTAAGTTCAAGCTATGACTTTCTCTTTTCTTTTGGAACTAAAAAAGATATGAAAAGTAATTTCTGAAAGTTTGTTACTTGATTTCAGTAAAGAGTTGGGTTTCATCCTTTAACCCGCTACTGAATGCCTTTATCCATAATTTGATCTCCAAACTAGAAAATGTTGTCCAAAATTTAGCGAAAGTCAGTGTATTTTAAAAAGAATGGGAATTTCTTTCGAAGGTCATAGGGAATTAGAAAATTTTGGAGTCAGGGAAAAGCAAAAATAGTCGGGGAAAAATCAGGGGAAGCCAGGGAATTTGAAGATGAAGAAATTATGGCAACCTTGGTGGACCCGAACCAAGCAAATTTTGCGTTAAGAAGTAGAATTCAGAAGTTCGGACGACGTGCTCTCTCTTATGTTTTAGCGGTTTAACTATCAAAAAACCTATAGGTATTCACTTAGGCATCTGTCTTTTGTTCAATAGACCCATTCTGGTGTTTTCGGTAATCAGGTCTCTTTTTCCGTGGAAGATAAATACTGCCGTGCAAGTGGTCCAGTTACACGATCAAATTGAGCCATCAAATTGAAGCTCTGATTGGTGGAAAAAGGCCTGAGGTGAGGGTGCGACGAATGAGAGGCCCAATTTGATGGCTCAATTTGATCGTGTAACTGGACCTCAAGAAAGAACGCCGTAAGAGCCTTCAGACGTTGCCATATTTCTTTCTATAAAAAGTAAATTTATCGGGGAAAATCGTCATTTTTTTTTTAATTTCCGGCAATTTTATTCTCAATTTCATCTGAAATATCTGAAAATTTCAAGAAAAATTCAGCACAACTTTCCTCAAAAATATATGTTTTATCCGGAGATATTTTGCAACTCCCGAATTTTCATACGGCGTTTTTCCTCAGCACGACAGAGTATACACATTCACTGGAAAAAAAACACATTGGATCTAGAGTCTAGACTCTTGAAAACATTGACAAGAAAAAATACTCTTGATTCAAACGGATTTTTGCTTGATCAAAACAAAATCCGCTTAAATTAAGAGGCTTGGTGATTGATTTAAGCTGGATTCTGATTGAATCAAGAGTACTTTTTCTTGTCGATGTTTTTAAGAGTCTGGACTCTAGATCTAATTAGAGTACCTATATAGCGAGAGTATGGACAGATCGCTTCATGGAGGGCTTAGGGCCCAAAAGTGCAGCCACCCTTCTAACCAACTTTTAACGCACAAAATTTCACTGCCAGTCTGCAGATTCCAATTCTAACCAAAATGGCTAAGAATGTACGTAAATGAGCGTTCTTCCGCAAAAACGAGTAAATTTATGCAAAAACTAAGTCAAATACGTGCTTTATAAACGATGGTTCGTAACAATTGTATTAGTTAAGCGCTCTGGATAATTGAGATTCATAGATTGGCTGCATTTCTGGGCCCTAACTTTATTCGCGGAGACATCGGTGAAGGCCTGATGGATTTTCGGAGTTTCACATCTGTCTATACTCTCGCTATACGGGTACTCTAGATCTAATGTGTTTTTTTTCCAGTGTTGAGGATTTGAATTGTTATAGTATAGTATTACAATTCCCCCGACTCACATTCGTAGGCGAGCGACGAGACATTGACTATCCTGGCAGGGGCCGAAGCTAGGATCTTCGGTAGAAGTAGCAAGGTGAGGTAAAAATGACCGAGGTAATTAGTACCAAATGTCAGCTCGAAGCCGTCCGCAGTCGTTTTGCGGGTCGGGCTCATCACACCTGAAACAAGTGTAACTTAAATTAGATTACGTTTTGCGATGAGAAATTACTATATTATGCTAGTTTTGGAAATAACATGAGGCGTTAGTATCTCTAAGCGGTGAAAACTTTGACAAGAAAAAATACTCTTGATTCAATCGGTTTTTTGCTTGAATCAAAACGAAATCCGCTTAAATTAAGAGGCTTGGTTCTTGATTTAAGCTAGATTCTTATTGAATCAAGAGTACTCTCTCTTGTCAATGTTTTTAAGAGTCTGGACTCTAGATTCAATGTGTTTTTTTTCCAGTGTGTGTGTTTTAACGAAGAAGGCACACTGAAAAATAAAATACGTGCGACATAGATATAACGTCCGTTCCGGGCTTAGAGGCCGAAAGTTCCGGGTGCTGGAGCCTCGGTTCTCAGCTTCAACCTCAGTGACATTTCTGATGATTCATCGATCCAAAATCATTGCGAATCTTGCTGGATTTATCAGGGACTTTAAAAATGGATTTCTCGTTAGAAACCTGAAAGTCGACGGACTGATCGTTGAAATTGATAGATAAAGCGATAAGACCTAGGGATAAAGATAAAGAAGACCTAGGGAATATGGAGCGATCCTATTCGTTGAAATTCATTGTTTTTTAGACTAAGGGGGTAAATGATGGATTGACCGTATGGTCCCTCGTGGGTTACTGTCAGTTAGTCTATCGCTCACCTCCTTTGTCCATTCATCATTTACCCCCTTAGTCTAAAATAACCATGAATTTCAACCAATAGGATCGCTCCATGCTCCCTAGGTCTTCTTTGTCTACCGCTTTATCTATATCAGTTGAAACAATCAGTCCGTTAATTGACTTTCAGATTTCTGACGAGAAATCCATTTTTAAACGATAATTCCTGCAAGATTCGCTATGATTTTGGATATAGGAATCATCAGAAATGTCACTGAGGTTGAACCTTAGAACCGGGGTGCCAATAAGATCCCACTATATCCCTTTTGTCTTCTTTATCTATAGTTTTGTCCATCAATTTTAACAATCAGCTCACACAATCCATGTGTATTAGTTCTTGGCCTATAACGGTTTCAGGACATTTTTTTAAATTTTTTCTTTACGAAATTATTACTTCATTTTGAAAACATTTATATTTTTAAAACGTGACAAATATTTGTAAAACCTTTTCCAAGCGACATTAATCTCAATAAGCCGCAGTTGTGCCGACAGAAACTGCAAAAATGAATAAAAGATGAGAAAAAATCGATCTTTTAGAGTCAAATACGTCAAATTTTGAGCGTTTTGTTGCGCGCACACCTCGCTGCAGCACAATAAAAGCACAAAATGTAAAATCAAAAATTAAAGTGCTTTGAAAATCATTAAATTTGACACGGACCCACCAACATTTAAAAAACACACATTATGTTATTATTCTTCTTTGATGAATTGATACATATTTTTCCCCCATCAATTTAAATGCGAATACTCAATGCAGAGTGTGCAAACATTTCAAAATCCTCAGTTAAAAAACGCTGACTTTACGAGTATAAATATTAAAGCGTAAGAGAGCGGAGTGGCTTGCTGCCAGCGCGAGAGGCTCACTGGCGCCTACAAACCTAAGTGGATACTTCACGCATTGCACAATGCTTGAAGTATCCACTTAGGTTTGTAGGCGCCAATGCGCGTTTAACGCTGGCCGCCCGCCCGCCGTGCGGCGGCGCCTGAAGCAACTATTTCACAACAGAGGTGTTGCACAGTATTATACAAAATTGAACGTATTAAGAATGACAGGCATCCTTTAAAAGTACAGATCTTTCCTCGCAAAATATATCAAGATACTTATCCTACACTGGAAAAATCTAAGAGCCTTTAGCTGAGGCAAATATAGAGGTTTATCCGGTTCAGGTATAACAAGGTGGGAAAATCTTGATAGATAATTAAGTCCTGTTACACCAAAAAGGTTGTGGAGAGTTTTAGTGAATTTTGTCTCATGGAATTGACGCTCCCCCATTTTTACCAAAACTCTCAACTATATATTATTCTTCTTTGGACCAAACAGACAAAACAAAAAAAATAAAACAAGCAAACCCTCATTCTTCCAAGACATTTTACATTTTCATCCAAAAAAATCGTGAGCAATTGTCGTTTGTATTTATATGTGGGCCAATTAACTTCGGGTCTCAACTGGCACGCGAACCAAAACTCCCGTGCCGAAAAAACGTGTGGACGTAAATTACTGGAAAAAACGGGTGCGCGGACAAACAAATCGTTGACGAGATGTCCTATAACCCCCATAACGTGCGAGTCGCGTTGACATACCTGCGTTATTGACGAGAATGTTGATTTGATCCTCCGAATCATTGAGATCATCGACGAAGTTGCGGATTGATTCCAAGGACGATAGGTCGAGCTTTTTGACGATCAGTTTTCCGGCCTTGTCGTGAGGGAAGGAGAGCTCTACTTCTTTTCGAATTTCGTCCGCTGCTTTTTCTGCCTTGGAGACGTCCCTGCACGCCATTATCACACGTCCGCCTGGAAAGTGTCGGAGACGCTTTGAAACGTAAGGGAAATATTGTACCACTGACAGGACCTGTACAGGACTGACAGGACCCCACCCCATACAGGACCACTGAGCGGCCGGTCGGCGCTCAGTGGGCCTCTAAAATAACGCTACGGAGCTGTAATTTTAAAAACGTGAATTATTTGGAAGTATCTGTAATTTCTGAACTCAGCGACCCTCAAGAGTCCCTAATAGTGCATTTTGCTCAGTTTGGACATTTAATCTGTTTTAATAATAGTCAAATCCGACTTTTTTGCGCGCGAAAATCGGTCGGCGCGCGTTGAGCAGAAACTTCAATCGATCATAACTCCGGAACCGTTTAGTTCCCCAGCTTAATGGACCACTCGTTGGATGCGGAAAAAGACGAACAATTTAAAAAACTGGTTTTGGTTCAAATAAAAAAATGAGATCTTTGTAAATTTTTCGTTTAAAAGAAATTTTCTAGACCTAAAAACTGGAAAAAAGCACATATGTTGACTTAAAAATGTGATATCGGGATTTCGACCTTTAGAATCTTAAAGTATGCAATTTTAGACGATTTTTCGTCCAAACCGGACCTCGATATCTTTCTTCGTTCGAGAGATATCGAGGTTCACAGTTTTTGACTTCCATCCCCCCTGGCTCCCCCCCGAAATTTTTTGGGGGTCTGAAAATTTGGGAAAAGAAGCGCTCAAGTATGAGTAATCAATAGACAAAGTCTGAAGAAATTCCAGAGTGGGGGCGAAAAAAGCCGTTTTTGCATCAAGCTCTTTGACGATCTGTCTACGCACTCAATAACATTCGTCATAGCACAGTTCACTCTTAGAAATTAAAATACTTTTTACTTGCATATAGTAGAATGATACACTGGTTCATTTTCTCACCAACTCGGTAGAATTCCTGGGCAGTAGGTTTACCAATTCCAGTATTGCACCCCGTCACGATGACAGTTTTTCCGTCAATCCTCTCCTTGATCTCGTAGGGTTGACTCGCTCGAGCACCCATCGCAACGCTCGACCTGGTTTCAATCAGGAGATAGAAGTGAAATCAGAACAATCAATCAGTAGAAATCAGTAGAAAGTTATCCCTTTATGTAAATGCACTACACTTATAAGTTTCCTCAAAAGTACAAGGGGTGTACAAATACAAAGATCGAAATTTTTAGGAATTTTTTCAAAATTGGTCTCACGTCACGTTGGTTTCAATCAGGAGGTAGAAGTGAAATCAGATCAATCAATCAGTAGAAAGTTATCCCCTTATGTAAATGCCCTACACTCATAGGTTTCTTCAAAATGGCAAGGGGTGTACAAATACAACGATCGAAATTTTCTAGGATTTTTTTCAAAATTTATCTCACGTCACATTGGTTTCAATCAGGAGATAAAAGTGCAATCAAAACAATCAATCAGTAGAAATCAGTACAATCAGTAGAAAGTTATCTCTTTATGTAAATGCACTACACTCAAAAGGTTCCTAAAAAGACACAAGGAATTTACAAATGCAAGGATCGAAATTTTTTCGGAAGTTTTTCCAAACTTGGCCTCACGTCACGTTTGTAGGTCCTGACGGTTTTTTTTCCGGAAATAAAAGCGATTTACGAGACTTCACTGTAGGCTTGTATTATAATAACTTTTCCAAGAAAGTATAAGAGGACTCGTCCGTCGGCTAGCGCAAAAACTACAATGTTCGATGCCCCCACGACACAGACGCACTTTTCTGTTGACTTGCGACCGAACACGCTTAAGCAAACACAAAATATAAGAACTTTGAAGTGAGATAAGTTATGTTTTGCGGTTTCGTGAGGCTCAGAGAAGGAGGGTTGATTATCGTTTTCGAATCATTTCCACGGCGAGTTCATCAAGCTCCTGTTGTTTTCTCACCGGCGAAGAAATTATAATGCGCGTCCAGAATACGAATAGGTATCGCCAAATTTCGCATGAAATGGAGAATTTGCACGCAAATTTTGTATAGCTTCATCTAAAAGTAGATGATTTCGCAGTGTTTTCCATAATATTTTCTGGTTTGGGAAATTGTATGATAATGGATTTAAAAGTGAGAAAATTCACTGCCTAGTGAAGTCATCTGACGGCATTTCACTTTTAAACAAATGTATATTAGCAAATTAAATCGTTTTGTCATATCTCCTCATATAATTGTTTAATTTGCGAACAAAGGGTATCCAGTTCGTGTCCAGTTCACTCAGTAGTTTTCGCTTCAACGCAAAATTCATCACATTTTAGACGATCGCAAATTCTTCACTCACGTAATTTGGGTCGTGTTTCTAAACGCACTTCAAACAGCTCCTTTCCGGAAAGAGGCTCCATATGGTTTATATTCTGATTAAAAAAGGTTTCACGAAATTAAAGGGTTGAAAAACATTTTTTATTCCAAAGGCTACCAATTTTTTAAGGTGAAGAAAAAAAATTGTATCTATTAGAAGAACATTATGTTTCGGTGGACGAATTTTCTATTCATCCAATTGAGTTCTTGTAATTCTAAGAAATGTAACTCCGTCATCGATAACAAATTCATTTTTCATTAAAATTGAAAAAAAAAGGAAAAAAAAACTTGTCACACTTGAAAAACATTTTCTTTATAAAAGAACAATCTTTGTTCAGAAAAATACTCTCTGAATCAAAGATAATTTTTCTTTACTTTAAAACGTGTTTTTAACTGGTTTTTTTTCTTCTTTTTTTTCAATATTACATAGCATCATAAGATGGACATTTTTTACAAACTTTAAGTGAAATTCTGCAGTAAACATTTGGAAATGGATCTTCGCAAAGAATCATAATGATTTTTTGCTACAATAAATGAAATTTTGCACAAATTTTCAAATACAAAAGAAAATACACAATGAGCAAAGTTGTTAGTATGGATCCGCATCAACTTCAAAGTTTGTCAAAATCATAGGATTTCCTCCTTTATATTTTTTATTTATCCCAGTTCAAAATCATTTTTATCCCTACACGGGTTCATTTTCCAAATTATATCGCTACATTTTGCTCGAGGTTCGCAAACTTTGTCCTATTTACGATGCATGTCCAACTCAAGTTCTCTATAAATCCCCTTTAAATACAATTGCAATTATATCGTCGCTCCTCCGACATAAGGGCGTATCTCCACTTCTGTATGAGGCCCAGAAAGCATGGCTATATATGTGAAACAGGACTCACGTGGAAATTGATTTATGCCTTTACGTCAGAGGAGCGACGATATGGGGCCTTTTCAAGGTTAGGGGCCGTTTAATGATTGGCTGTGAATACTGCACTTCGCGTCACGCTATGCTGGACAGCGGAGCATCTGACAGGGCACAAACTAAGACTTAGATATCTTGTTCAAAGTGTTTACGCACACATGTGCATGGGTCAGTTGCGCTGATCACAGAATCGTGTTTTGATGCTTGATTCTTGTGGCTCAACTAAGAATAATAAGATCGATCCAAATAGAAAATCTCTGCATCCAGTATTAACCGAGATAACACGCTTCGGAAAATGCTGTTTGTGACGTCATCCACCGCTTCAGTGACATCCTTGGTTTCTTCCACCTTGCTTTCATCAATCAGAGAGACGCACATTTGCACTAGTTACTCAACGTAGAACTAGGATGAAAGCAAGATGGAAGAAACGAAGGGTGAGTATCACAATTGCGGTGGATGACGACGTCCTAAACAGAATTTTTCAAACACTGGAAAAAAAAACACATTGGATCTAGAGTCCAGACTCTTAAAAACATTGACAAGAAAAAATACTCTTGATTCAATCGGATTTTTGCTTGAATCAAAACGAAATCCGCTCAAATTAAGAGGCTTGGTTCTTGATTTAAGCTTAAATCTGATTGAATCAAGAGTATTTTTTCTTGTCGATGTTTTTAAGAGTCTGGACTCTACTTCCAATGTGTGTTTTTTTTTTTTTTTTTTTTTTTTTTTTTTTTTTTTTTTTTTCTTCAGTGAAGCGCGATATCTCCGTTGATACTGAACGTAGGGAGTTGCTGTTAGAACAGTATATTTTTAGCTGAATTACAAGAATCAAGCGTCAAAACACGATTCTGGGACCAGCGCACCTGGCTCATATGCACACCGAAAAATTCTGAAACCAACCCTTGAAGAATAAGATAAAAGCATTTATGATTGGAATTAGTTCAGTGGCGAATATTAAAATGATCTGCCTTTAAGCTGTCCTTTCAACGATACAATAATGTGCGTGTATCTATTTTGATCTGATCTTTGAAGCTTTTACTAGATTTAATGGTTATATAACTTTGCCATTAATTTTTTTAAAAAAAACTTAAGCTAATAAAATTCAAAAATGCCAAGCCACTTACTTATAAAAACTTTATTTGATAATTTAACGTCTCTCTTCGAAATCGGGAAGGTCTTCCGCAGTTGAATCGCACGCTAGATTCACCAAACAAGCACTTAAACGCATGATTTCCAATTCACTGATTCAGCTTTCAATAGCTGGACTAGATGTGTTTACTCTGTTGGCAGCGATATCCCTCATAGCGCTTGCCAACGTGCAAATATGTACTAGTTGTAATCAGTCAGCTTCCAATTACGGAAGGAATAAACCTTCTCAAGAAAATAAGCTCCGATCTCATGACGTCATCTTGAATAATATAGTGCTTGTATAAGTTCTGAAAAGCTCTGAGTTTTTCGAGTCTTGTCATTTCTTGCTTTTCAAGATCAGTTTTTTTCTGGCGTCCACTCTCTTCCGAACCCACTCATGGAGCTAGGGCGCGCCTCGCACCTTGTCTTGGGTTTGTTCGTGTTACAGTGGTACGTGAGATGTTCCCTCTTTCAGTGTTGTAAATTTTATCAACAGTAACAGACATTTCTCCCAAAGATCCAGATAAAAATACAGTATTTTATGTTGGAAACTTGACAATCTCCTCGCATCCTAGACGCCAGTAGTGGATAATCCAATTAGGCGTGGGAAACTTTCGCACGTGACCTTCGAGCTCTCTGTTATTAAGTTAAATCCTTCCGCCTCGTGCTTTTATTTTACGCCCCTAATTATCGTCAGAGGCGGATTCAGCAATTCGGCAACATCGGATCTCCATTTAAACCTATGCTAAATGATCGATTCTTGCCGTAGCATTTGGCCCCTCCAAGAATCGATATGTCGGAGGCAAATAGTAAAATCAGGAATTTTGTCAAATAGCTACATATTCGCGTTAATAGTTGAATACGCGTTTATCATCTCAATATCGCGGCGAATGCGCGATTTTTCAAGCGGTTTTGTACACAAATAAAATGTTGCGGGTAACTCACCCCGAAATCGCGATAAATACGCAATTTTTGAATCGCGAATTACTCCACTGAAGAAGAAAAAAACTCCGGCCGTGGAGACCGTACTTACGGGCTATACGGACATACCGTTCGCTTTCTGGGCTCAGAGGCCTAAAGTTCCGGGCGTAGCATCCGTAGCAATCGAAGCTACAGCTTCAGCACCCGGAAGTTTCGGTCTCCGAGCCTGGACTGGACGGTAAGTCTATATGTCGCAGGCAATTAGCAATCGCCGGCAGTTTGCAAGCGTTTACATTTGTTTCGATGCGAATCAGCGTAATGAAGGCCTGATGGTCTAAGGCCTTCAAAAGCGTGATCTCGTATTGGAGCGCCTTCATTTTTTGTGATACTCAACGCTTTGTCACGGTGTTAGTTTAGTTGCGTGACTCAACTGAACCCAACTAAGGTCATGGCTTCCACCCCGCGCTCTCATGAGTTTACCTATTACTACCATATTTTTAAGGAGGGAATATTTTCCACTCTCATTAAAGGGTAAATATTCAGTAATTTAATATTGTTCCTATATTTCTAGAATATATTCTTTTCTATTTACTCACGTATGGCTTGCAAATTGCCGGCGATTGCTTATTGCCTGCGACATATGGATTGCATTTTGCAAAAAGGAACCACTAGCATTGCAATGATGCTAAGATTGTGCAACTTCATCTTTTGCAATAAAATTGCGGAAATTGTGAAAAACTATGAAATTTAGATGGTAATTTTTGTCTTAAATTTACAGTTTTTAGCGAGTAAAATAGAAACTATTAATGGATAATCGGGGTTTTCCTCGAAGACAAAAGAAGTTGCACAATCTTAGCAACATTGCAATGCTAGTGGTTCCTTTTCACAAAATGCAATCCATATATAGCCCGTAACTTTTTTTCCCAGTGTCACTTGGTACTCTCAGAATATGAAAAAAAACCACAAAGTTTAGTGACCCATCGTGGGC